AAATTTTTAACAGAGAAATACTATATTACAACACATAAGTAGACTGTTAAACTCACTGCCACAGGAAGTCACTGATGCCAAGATTTTACTCCCATTCGAAAAGAAAGCAGCTATTTAAACACACAATAACAATAAGGGAAAAAAATAAACACACAGCTGAGGGAATCTCAAGCTTCATAGCCCAGGATTCAAGAAAGCATCCAAAGAGATCACTGGGATATATTTGGCCATCCAAACACTCCCCTGAACCCGACCACACAGCAGCCAGAAGCCAATACCAAGGAGAGTATGAGCCACACACAGAACAAACTGTCCCTCAGACAGATCAACACCAAGAGCGTTTAGCTGCCAAGCCAGCATCTGCCAACCACCTAAACCCCAAAAGCATCTGGCGCTGGCCAACTTCCAAAATGCAAGGCTTGCACGATTTCACGTTTGATGTGATATTGCTTTAATTTCCTCTCCCACTCTGCAGTTGTATTTTGTTTTTTAAGAACAGAACCACAATGTATTTGCAAATAGGAGTCCAATGCTTGGACTCATTCCAGAAAGCCATCTAGGCTCTTTGGAGAACATCTAACACCACCTCAAATGAGCAAAGAATTAAATACTGAACATTATATGTATTCCCAGCAGAAACAAATTTGGAAAAAATCCCCTTCACATGCATAAATTAAGAAATAAGAGAATAGTTCTAGGAACCCCCTGATATCCTCCCCTTCAACTAAAAAAAAAAAAAAACCACACCAAAACCCACCACAAACACAAGCTGTATTTTCAAATTTTCTGACAATACAGTGGCTATCTCTCTATATGTATTTGTGTTTGCTCTAACTTTGAAGCTGCTCTGAGATGGGCTTGGACCAGACTTCCAGTGATCCTTTCCTAAATTATTCTATGATTACATGTAGAGCATACCCAAACATTAAACAGCAATACATTATAGCTCAAATTAGTATTAACCCTATTTTCCCTTATGACAATTTATTAAGCTCTTTGGGTTCTCCTTAAAAATTTGAATAGAATTTCTTCAAATAATTAATCATTTCCTCTGTACCCATCAAGAAGGTCCTTTACTAATAACAGCACAGTAAACTCAAGGGAGAAAATGTGACATTTAAAGCTTTCTAAGTCTGCTACTTTTCACACTACCACATATTTCTGAGTAAGTGGTGGTCAACTGTCCTCACACAGTAAGACAGAGCAGTACCTCTGCCAGGTACCCAAGAGTTCTGTTTTATTTCCTTTATAAAACAAAAAAACATTAGAGAAAAAACAGGCCTACCTTGCTCTGTGGGCAGAAGCAATTAAGTCTGCCTGCTCTTACCATTGTCCCACAGCTCCCTATTGTCCTGTTCCACCCCACCCATCATAACAACCATCCCAAGTGTTTGGCTGGGCCAGTAGAAGTAGGCTACTGCTGATGGCTCAGAGCTTAGCACACAGACTGACCAAGAGTTGCTCACTTCTTGGAGAAGGGAGGGACTCAATTATGACTGTCTTTTTTGGGTAGGAATATTAATTTGGGTTACTACCTGTCAAAAGTTTTATAAAAATTTGTCACAGTGTAGGTGGTTAACGTCTTTCAGTTGCCATAAACTTCAGTTTCATCATCTGAGTAAGAAGTGACTTAAATGGGAGAAGACAGACAAAGAAAGCAATTGTACAAGCTTTGTGCCCTTAGTAAGTCTCGCTAAAAATCCATGTAAACTGTCTGATGATGAATCCATAAACAACACTGTTTATTATGAAAATAACTTCCTCACAGACAAAAGAAAACCCAAACCCCAATCTTTGACTGTTATCATTCTCACAGGGGTCCTGAGAAAAGAAAAATAAAAATCTACAATAATATTTCTGCTAGAAATAAGTAAAGACAGATATATAGAAAAAGCCAAGGAAGACAGTATATGTAACTTTGGAGAATGAGGAAAGAAATAAAGTCCACTGCTTTCCAGTGACCCCTGCCAGCTGTGACAGGAACAGCATTGTTCAACTCCAAGAGTGCTCCACCCCTCACTGCCTGGTCAACTGCCTCAAACAAGGTTGACTGGAATTCTTTAACGCACCTATGTCCCCCCTCCAATACCCACCAATACTGTTTCCTATTTCAAAACCTACAGGACTTTGATTTCTCCCCGAATTCACACCAATGTCTAGCAGCTATGGATACAGCTGGGATCAACTTTTTGAGACAAGCTGAGCTAACTCTGTTTTGGGAGAAATCCAGTAGTACCAGAATACTTGAAATCCTCCATGGAGTTCCCAACAATTACTGACAACTTATGCATATGTCACATTCCAAACAACACAAGAGGAAAAAGTTATAGTACAAACACTGAATTAAACCAACTAGGTTTCCGAATTCTTTTTATGGTGACTCAGGCTTATGTTTTATCCTTTGTAATATTTATATCCAGAATAAAAACATACATTGGCAGTAAAACATAGCAACAGAACGTTTAACTGCACAAACATTCCACTTCAAACAGGGATTGAGATCTTAAATACACAAGTTCCAAGCACTGCTCTCAACCTTCACCTTCAGAAATGAAAGTTGCTTGCAAATACTGTACAATGGAGTCCATCAAGGTGATGTGCGTACATACATTCATAAACACCTTACTGGAACAGAAATAAGACTTCTGAGAAAAGGATTATCCTTTCCAGGGAGTCACAAGCAAAGAGGCAAATCAAAGTAGATCACCAAAACTCAGAACTACAAAAATAGCCAAATGCATACAGCTATTTATAACTCAGAGATTTATTCACAGAACACTTTTAGCCTCTTAACCTCAGGGTAACAGAAAGTCTGATGCCAAGCACTAATGTATGTAACAGAAATACACCCTTCTGCTGCTTACTGACCATTCCAAGTGCAGCTGAAGATACTAGGATTCACTTACTAGGATTAACAGGTTATTTCAAGTGAAGCACTTCTCCCTGATAAAACAGATACCACCATCTGTTTAACATCATCAACAGGAAGATATAAGCAGACAAATTACTGATGACACACTGTACGCAGTCTCATTCCTATTAGAGAATTCATGCGTCCAAACTGTAAGACAAACTGTATTTCTATAGGAAAGCTTTATCACAAAGAATTTCATAACATTAATTAAAGCAGTTTCAACAAGTCAGGTTTTCCAATTAATTACTTTTTCCAGCTAATTATATGAGAGATGGATAAGACACTGGCAAATTTGGAACAAAATGCAAGACCTGGCAGCACTACTTTTGAAGTGATCAATAACATATAAAAGCAATAATTTTGGCACAGAGCTTGACACTATGGACTCAAAGTTTCAGTGAATCTGATACACCTAAGTAATACCCACTCAGAGGCTATGTATGAGAAACAAAAGTAACAAACAGCTGGACAGTTCTAGTACTGTAAGATAAATTTTCCCCAGCTCCTTTGTTTCCCACCGAAAAGACAACAAATAAAACACCAAGCAAATGAATGTGACAGCATAAATTTTGAGTGAAGTTCCCTAACATTTTGATTCCCAAACGGAAAATCAAGGATAAGCTGTGGTCAGGTTGCCACTGTTTTAGGGTGGAAAGGGGGGAAAAAAAACAAAAAAAACCAAAAAAAAAAAAAGGGGAAAGAAAAAGAAAACATGAACGGACGTAAAACACAAGAATACAAGAAACGAGGTCCGAGACGAACATGAAGATGCTGAAATGCAGGACCTTAAAAGGGAAGCAGAAAAGACCTTGTATCACCTGACACAGGCACCGAGGCAGCTCACGGTACGTTCGAGCAGCTCAGCGCGGAGAAGGTGCTTCACAGCAGAGCCGGAGCGGGCAGGCACAGCCCCAAGCACGGGAAGGGCCACGGACCGTACCTGCACCTCTGCCGCCCGCACCGACGCCGGCGGCGGAGGACACGGCAGCCCGGGCACCGACGGCTCCGGGACGGCGCGGCCGCTGCCCGGCCGGACCCGATGCGGGTCCGGGGCGCTGCGGGCAGGGGCCGCTCGGAGCCGCACTCGGACCCCCCGCCCCGGCGGCGCCGGCACCGCGCCGGCTCCCGCGGGAAGGTACCGCGGCGCCGCGGAGGCCGCGGGCCGCCCGCCCTTGCCCCGGCCGGGATTCCCCCGGGAGGGGGTGGGGGGCGGCAGCCGCCTCGCTCCCGACGCCCAGCCAGGGAAGCCGCGGCAGCACCGCCGGTGATGCGCGCCCCGCGCCTCCGCCGCGCTGTCGCCCAGCATCGAGAGAGCACCGCCGCCTCGCTCGGCCGCCTTCTCGCGCCCCGGTCGGCCCCTTCCCCAGCCGCGCGGGGAACTCGCCGCCCCGGTTCTCCCCCCGCCGCTGTCCCGGCGGGGCGGGGACGATCCCGAGTGCCGGAGCCCCCCCCGCTGCCGGACCCCCCCCGGGTGCCGGAGCTTCCCCCGCCGCCATCTCACCGTTCGCCGGTGCCGCGGGGCAGCGCGCGCCGCACGCAACGGCGGCGGGAAGGCGCGCGCGAGGCAACAGCTGGCGGGGGGAGCGGCGCGCGCGTCCAGGCGGCAGCGGCAGCAGCAACAGCGCGCCACCCGCGCGCGCCGCCGGGCCGGGGGCGGGGCCGGCGCGGGCCGGCAGCCAACGGCGGCCCCTCCCGCCCCCCGGGGTCGGGGCCGAGTCGTGACTGGCGGCGGCACAGCCCAACGAGAGCGCGAGAGAGGAGGCGTTGCGCTTGAAGAACAAGAAGCGGGACAGAGGCGTGGTCTCTATGACAGACAGCCCCTTTCACCAATTAGCGGCGGGGGCGGGGCTCCAGGGTGATCCACCGCCTGCTGGGAGTGGCGGCCAGAGCTCGAGGGGCGTCACCGACGGCTGATGAGAGGAAGGCGAAGTTAACTTGAGCGACGTCATCGTTACCCAATGACAATGGAGAACGGCAGGACGCGCGTTCCCGCTGGCCAATAGCAGTCTCGGGGCGGGTGAGGGAGGCGGGCGGTTCCCTGAGGCGGAGCTGGAGGGGTGGGCCGGGCGCCCCCTCAGCTGAGCGCGGGCCCCGCGGATGCGGCGGGATCTGCGGTAGGTGATGGACAACAAGGGGGGCTTCCGCCTCGGGGACCTCAGTCACGGCCGGGGAAGCGGGGCCTGGCGGGACAAGGCCGTGAGGCCGAGGGAGGGGCCGAGTTTGTGAATACAAAGCTGTGTTTAAATGGGGTTTTAAATCGGGCCTACCGCAGTATTTCTTTCGAAGTGTTAAATTACCCATACGATCGGAATAGGTTCTAAAACGGTATTTAATCGAACTGGGGTTCTGTTTAGTATGGTTTCACCATAATACGAATTTCAGGACTTTTTTAGGCGATGTTAAAGGTTTAAATATAAATGTATAGGTTCATGTTATCATTACAACTGAGCTGAGTGTCATATGTAAGTTGCCCTCCTCCCTGTTTTTTTCTTCTAAACAGGACAGAATTAGCTATCATAATATCCTCGTTATGCAGATCATCCCACCAAGGTCAGTGATATTCCTTGGATAGCTTCTCCTCACTGAAAATTTTCACTCCCTAATTATGTAGGTCCTATAATAGGAGTCAAGAGCTTTTTTATTTTCACACTGACATCCCATCAGTGTTCTCACTGAAGAGCCAGTTCAGACCTGTTATACAGTTGCATCCTTTTCAATGTTGTTGGGATAAGTGGGCTTCAGCAAAGAATCTGCCCATCATCTTTCTTTCATCGTGAGATAATCAAATGCTCCATGTAATCAAACCTTTCATTGTTATGTTACTCACTGTTAGCTCTCAGCCTTCAAAATCTGGTAGCTTTCTTTACTTGGACTTTAAGATCTCAAAAGTACACTTGGATTTTCTTGAGTTTTCATCTAAAAATGCCTCTGAAAGGACTGGAGCCTTGCAGTCCTTCCCAATCTGGCAGTAATGTCTGTTAGGTCAGAGAAAAGCAGTGTAACTTCTTCCCATGCTGAATTTTCTGCCTGTTTTTTCCAGTTGTTGCAAAGTGGTTCTTAGCAAATGGAAAGTATTTTCGAGTGAGCAACCTTCAAATTGAGTAGCCTCATGTAATACATCTTCAGTAGCCTTGTGTTTCCTCCAGAGACAAGTGATAGCACCTTTGAGTATCTGATAACCTGATACTTCTAAGAGTGTTGAGTTTCATTTTTCCTTTCAGACCCAAGTTTCCAGTCTGTTTCTGTTTGGTTTCTGCTTTCTCCAGTTTGCTAATAAGAGAGTATCTTTCTTGTAGTGTTTGTAGCATTGATTTCTAGAACTGGTTTTGAAAAACATTCTTGTGAAAAGAATGTTGAAACTTCAGATCATGACTCTTCATTTTAGCCACAGCCTTGCACTTGAGAATATTGGAAGTGTTTTCAAAATACTGTGTAAATGCTTTAGGCCAGACATAGTAATTCTGTAATCCCCTGCCAGATGGTTTAGGTTTGTTTCTGTAACAAGAGCAAAACAATGCTATCTAAACCTTCTCTGTTTTTTTTTTTTTTGGCCCCACAACTCCTGAGTGCTGCTTCTGAGCTTCACCTCTTCCCTAAGGAAGGGAAAGGTGGGGGGTCTTGGTTCCACCTTGTCAGGAACTGGCTTTCACCAGACCCTTTGGTGATCTGAGCAGAACTGAGATTGTGAAAAGCAGAACTACACAATCCTTCCTTAAACTTTTTTTTTTTTTCCTAGTTCAGCTTAGGGAACTGCCCTGCTTTGGATACAAGTGTGTCAACCCCCAAAACGAAGAGGGGATGCACTGACTGCAACTCCAATTTAGATTATTTTAAGCAAAACTGGGTCTTCTTACAATAAATCTCACTGCTATCCACTAAATCAAATCCATTCAAACATCAAACCCAGATTGAACAAAATAGCAGATCTGTTGAACTGTATATCAGCAGATGCAGATATAAACTGTAGGATGATTTCAGTGATGTACAGAATTTTTATCTCCTCACTGTAAGGTCACCTCATAACCAGTTGAGACAGCAGCTTTTACTTCTTTCCAGTAGCCAATCTTATCTGAGTACAGAATTTGTTCAACTTGCGAATCTGGAAAAAAATATCCCAGTTAAAAAGAAAAATGTAGCAGTAGATTTCTGCTTGTTGGGTGAGTTCAGCAGCCATAATCAGGTGATGTTGTGTGCATTGGTAATAACACAGAGGAAGCAGCAGCAGCAGCTGCTGGGCACAGGCGCTGGGGACACAGAGGGAAAGCAGCTCCTGTCCTTCCCTCAGCAGCTGGTGCTGGGGGTTCAATGCTTCAGAACACAACATCACACTTTCAGTAATTCAAATATTATTGCAGTCTGGAGCAAATCAAAGCTCATTTTCTTATTTCAGATGAGAGACTATTAGTGTTATAAAGAGAATTATTAAAAATTTTAATTTTTTTACATAATTGAAATACCTATTTCAGCACCATTTCACTGGTAAATATTCATTTTTGTAGCATGAAATAACAGAGGAAGATCACAGTCCTTCACACTTCAGTTTTTTACACTTGTAGAGAAAGGCTTTTGGCAGATGCAGTGGTAAAAGCTTTCCAGTTAGGAATATAAAAACTTAACTTTCATGACTGTAGTGGCAGATGCATTTGTCTTGTTTTTCTTTCGTCATGACTACAGAGAAATTTAAATATCCTATCCAGCCAATAAACCTGTCAGCCAGTGTCTGAATACTTGAGATACCTGCCAAAAAGCAAGCATTATCTGTAGCTTTTAGTAATTTCAAGATTGCTGGCTGACAGAAAGTTGGGCAGTGCTCGCTGGCTCAGTTTGAACCCAGGTCACTTCAGCTGCAGTTCTACAAACCGCAGGATTTCTCCGGGGGTTTTTGTGCTCCTTTGTGCTGAAACACATTTTACTCGCTACAGTATTATTTTGTTATTATTTTATTACAGATTTTGTTACAGAGAGAGAATTGTTACATTTTGTTTTCAAGTGTTAGCTGTGAGTGCTGGTGGAAAATGGTTCTAAACATATCCTTAGCATTCAAAAATCCTAAATGAGTCTGACAGCTTATTTAGGATTAAAGTACAGTTTGTTTCACAGAACAAATTTAGATTAAGGCAGTTACACAGCTGACTTAAGGCACTCGAAGGGAGTGGTGGACTGGAACAAACACTGTTCAGCTGAGCGTGGTAGTTATGAAAGTGCTAGGAAGCAGTATGTGGGTGAGTGGGAAAGCAGGAGCAAGGAATTGGTCTCCTTTATGGAATATGCCTAATGGTGGTGTAGTGCCATCTTTTGATGCCTTCCCTCCCCCTTTTGTTTTGTTAGGTTGTTGCTGACAGCAAAGGACTTCCTCTCAAAGCTGTTTAAATGAGAATGTCCCTGGCGCAAAGAGTGCTGCTGACATGGCTTTTTACATTACTCTTCCTGATCATGCTGGTGCTGAAGTTGGATGAGAAAGCACCGTGGAACTGGTTCCTCATTTTTATTCCAGTGTGGATATTTGATACAATTCTTCTAGTTATGTTAATTGTAAAAATGGCTGGACGTTGCAAGTCTGGCTTTGACCCTCGCAATGGCTCCCAGAACATGAAGAAGAAAGTCTGGTACCTCATTGCAATGCTGCTGAAATTGGCCTTCTGCCTCGCCCTGTGCGCGAAGCTGCAGCGATTCACCACCATGAAACTGGCCTATGTGTTCATCCCGCTCTGGGCCCTGCTGATTGGGGGCATGGTTGAACTTGGATATAATATCTTCTATGTACGGAGAGACTAAGCTTTGCCAGGTGGTTTCCAGTGCCAAGACTGGCACCAAATTACTAGATTACCACCATTTTGCCACAAATTTATCTTCAGACTAGAAAGCCAAATGAGTCAAACTGGAGACAGACTAAAGCAGGCTGAAGACTGAAAGTAGACTTGTTTCATTTTTTTATTTTAAAACTCACATATGCTCTTGTAAATAAAAGTATTTGTTCAACATAAGCTGTTCTAATATGATTACTGTTACTTGTTACATGGAATAGGATACAGGTTCTTCACATGCAGGTAGAAGACCTTGTCAAAGAAACCACAACTGTTCTACCCAGAGTACTCAGCACATTGAGTAATCCTAGGAAAGAGGATGAGCTAAATTTGCTTTAAAAATCAGTAACAATTGACAGCAGCCAAATAAGAGCAATAAAAGGAATAAAGTAATGCACCTCTTTTTAATTTTTTTTTTGACTGAGATTCCATTGCCAGTCTAAAAATAAGCACTGTTTTCTAAACTGCTGAAACAGCCCATAACCAGTACATTAACCTTAGGGAACTCAGTTGGTAGCTGAGCTGTGCCAGCAGAAGAGGGAGACAATGGTGATTCCTTTCCAAGTGAGAACTCACCAGTGTTGCAAAAGACTGAAAATGCAGGGTGAATTCAGTACTGCATTTGTACCTGCCCAAAGTGATACTTGAACTCTTGTTCAAGTTTTTAATACCCGAGGATATGAAATTTTGTGGGGGTGAATCCTTGGCTTCATGGAACACTGGCAAACTCAGACATAAGGAAATTACCTTTTTCAGGTAACAAGTGAATAGGACTTCAGGAAAGAACTGCAACTACAAGTATATTTTGTGGACTAAAGTGCTCTTTCAGGAGATACAGTAACACCAAATTCAAATGTAGCAGTTATCTGGGAGATTATTAACATGCATGCTGAAAATGCTGATCCATTTACAGTTCCTAGAGACAAAAGAATGTAAAGTGAATGAAAAACAGTCTAGGGTAACAGGACATACCTAGACCAAAGTGTCTCACTAATAAAATTTTAATTATGTACATTCAACTGTACTTGTCTGTGGGAAAAAAAGTCTTCCTGAAGTGTTTGGATTTACTCTTGCTGTTTTACCACACAGGCATGAGTAAAAACACAGAGGAACCATACTGTCAGAGACTGCTGAAAGAACTTTATCTAAAAAACCAACATATTCCATTCTAAGGCAATGAATCTCCAAATGATCTTTAAAATGAATTTAAGTCATATTTATTTCAAAGTGGTTGACTATCCTGCCTTGCTAAAGGAGAAGCCAGGAAAAAACAAAGACAAAAGAATTCTAAACCTTAGCTGCTGTTAAAAAAATGTAAAGTATTTATAAACCCTTTCTTATAGCAACATACCAACTTCTCTGAGCAAACCCACGTACCCAGCCCCAAGATATGCGCATCAGGTAATTTATGGGGAGTGCCTGACAGGAATTTGTTCTAGGAGAACTTGTTCTAAGAGATGTACCTATGCATTGTGTAGATCTGAAAAATACTTAATGGACGGACCCTGCTCTGTGTCTGAGACTTTTTGTTCATTCATATGAGGTTCCTGTGGAGAACTGACATCTTTCAGTCTTGAGTGACTTTTCTAGTAAAATTGGCACTTGTGATTAGGATGAGCTGTGGGGAGGGAAAGAGTACATTAATCTGAGAACGTGCTCTTAGACCTACTGGTTACAGGAGCTGTGAGAGCGAGCACACCCGCGCAGGTGCCATGGGTGGCTGTGTGTGGGGAGGAGAGAACAGGCTTCATCTGCACGTCCCACTTGGTTCTGTTCTGCTAACAGGAACCCAGGCCACTGCGCCCCTGTGTGGAATGCACTGCCACTCCATGGCAGCCAATCTAGACCTTGTGAATTTGTTATGGCTGCTTCCAAAATATATGAAGAGTATCTGAAGCCCTACCTCCAATTCAGGTACACTTTGACAACCCACTTAACAAACAGGGATACAAGTGTGTAACAAGCATTCCAGCACCTCAGACAAGATGATTTTATGTGCAGACACACACACACTTACCTGTGGCAGGTATAGGTCCAAGCATAAAGTAATACCCATAATCCTACCCCATCCAATGATTCTGGAAGAAAAAAATTCCCAACCCCCTTGTTCAAAGGATGCCAGAACAACCCCATGCTGCTCAGGAGAGCAGAGCAGCTTTTCTCAGCTGAGCTGATGATGGTAATTGATTGTTATGACATGAAACAAAAGATGGAAGAATAAGAACTGGCTTCATTGGAACTTGGTGTATTATTAGCAAGATAGGCCGTGAATGGTGACTCTGCCCCCTTAATAAACCCCTTCTCTTCCACAGATGTAACAATTATCTGAAAGTTTGGCATCTCTAATTAACTAGAATCACACACAGTCCTTACAAATCTCCTTTTAATTGTTGCCTCTAATTCAAGTAGAAAAAGATCAGCAATTTCAGTTTTGGTTGTGAGTTTGGCTTTCTTTCTTTTTTCTTTTTTAAAGGTTTACAAATCTTGAAATAAATTCTTTGGAAAGCTGAAGCAGATGCTTCTTGCTGGTGTTATACAGAAGTCACACACAGCCAGACCGAAGTGCTCAACTTTGCAAGTTCCTTGTCCTTACAGGGAAACTTGTACGAGAGCATATCCCTTTTGAGAATTTTGTATCATATTTAACTGACCTGAACAGATCCGAGATCTTTGTGCACACTGTGCTGCTTCTTTGCCTTATCAGAACTTCACTCAGAAGGATTTATGATACAAAGTACAGTATATCCCACTGTGACCTTTCCAGAAAGTGCTGCAGGAATTAATTACATCTGTTCATAATTACGCTGTTCTCAAAGGTGCTGGTCACAGCTTGGAAGTGGAAGCAATGCTCCTCATACATTTTCCTAAATTTACCAACTGCCCAACTGATCTTCAGTAACAGGATAAAATGGGAGAAAAGCAAATTTGCTGAAGGTGTCAGGGAAAAGGAGAGCTACACGCTGAGATGGCTCACACTGATTTGTGATAAAAAGGCACAAGGATGTTATCTCAGCTCTTTGTGGCACCTGATGGGGGACAAAGGAAAGAATTTGGCCTTGAGGAGCTTTGTTTTAAACTGCAATTCAAAAGCTTGTTGAAATCAACTGGAAGTATTTCTCTGTACTGATGATACATATTGGACATGGAGAGATAGATTTCACATGATTTCTCTCCATCATGTATTGAAGTTTGACCACTTCAGCATGCATTGCAGGCAAATATTTGCTTTTGTCAGACTTCAGAAAAAATGCACGTGTGTGGAAGGTCATGAAACTTTTCAATTGCCAATGCATACTGTTTTTTGTGATTTATCACCATTTTAGAACAGTATCCAGTTTTGTGTTCTTTTTATACTTGAAAAATGCAGTTATGTGACATGTACATCCTCACCTATAATGAAGTTTAACCTGAATGCTCTGAGAACATGTGCAGACACACAAAATGCACTGCCAGGCACAGAGGGCAATATTAAAGCCTGAACTAGCACAGGACACGGGTACACAACCATTTGAGAGATTTATTATCACTATTATTTTCTGACACATCTGCATCATAGTACAGAAGCAAAATGTTTGCCTAACCTTATGAAAGTTTTCACAATTCCACAGTACAAAAGTTGGGTGACACAAAGTGGAATTGAAAGGGAAAATTATGAGACTCCCAAAACCACTGAATTTTAACATCAGGTGTTCCATATTTTGACATCAATATAATTCTGGGAAAAAATAACATGTTTTTCAGTAATAAAGCTCCTGAATAATTGTATCCTCAGAAATAAGTTGTTTGAATTTACTGGCATGGAAAACATAGCACTATCGTATAACACATCATGTTTTTAATTAGGATTGCAATAAAAATAACCATGCTGAGTTGTGAAAAGAACATTTGCACCTCTGCACTGTAACTTGACTGTTTTTTAAGGTTTTGAGGGAGTTAATCTCCCATATGAGCCTTGTAGACATGAATGGGCCTGGGCATCAACTTGCTGCTGAAAAGCATCAGGCTTTGGGAACTAAGGCAACTCAAGGTACCTCTGCAGCTGGACCACTAGAGTACTGTTCAATATAAATTCTGCATTTTCTTCTTGGACTTGTACTAAAGCAGGATAAAGAACAGGAAAATCTGCAACTCAGTGACATCACTCCCTCTGATCTGCCTTTCCTAACAAAACCAACATCCCAAGCAGACAAATATAAGAAAAGTCTCCCTACAGTCAGAACAACAGCATAAGAGCAAGAAACAGGAAAGCAATGAGAACGTAAGCTTAGTTCATCCACCTTAATTTTTATCTGTGTTCCTTCTGAAGTTCACGAAAAAATCACCACAAAGATGTTTTTTCATTTAAAAATTCCATCTTTCTGATTAACTAAAACTCTCAGTTGCTTCAGATCACATTGGCAAGTACCGGAGTGTTACTCTTGCATGCTAAGGATAATGACTGAGCAGCCTTGACTTAGGTTACCACTCTCCCACACACAGGTCTAAATCTCACGGTTTTCATCTCCAGACACCAGGAACAGCTTTTCTCTGCTAACAGCCCCACTTTGTCTCAACACAGATAAAAAAGCTCCCATAAAAAGCACAGTCCTTAGAACACAGGCCTGAGCTGCAGCCAACATGACACCATCATTCCAGGCGATGGCAAATTAATGATAAAATATAGTATCAAAATAGCTGTTGAAAAATCAAACTTGATAGAACAGAAGTTTAAACTGTGGTTTTAATCAATGCTTGCATCAGATAACTGTACACCAAATATTAAAGGACTATTTAGGACTAACACCCTCATCAGTAGGCTCATCTATCAGCATGACCAGAACAAGAGAAGATCAATGTTTAGCTGGCACTCAAGTACAGCACGGCTTCAAAGCAGAGATCATAACAGCATCAAAGCACAGAGAAAAACAGTGGTTAGAATATAATACACTAAATTTGCAATGTCAGGATCCCTGATGATTCTAACAGAAACAGCAGCCTAAATATTGTGAAGTTAATCACTGCTTCTGAACAGAACACAAAATCACTTTTTTTAAGGGAAATGAAATGAGTGACTGATG